TTGTGATTTTTCCAAATTCACGAAAATTAAATCTGCAAAAAATTGATTTATATGGTTTAAGATGGCCGAAAAGTAAAAATTACGAAAATTAAAGCCAAAAATTTTCTGCTACTGTACATGTATATGGCAGATAGTCACCAAATTCCTACTTGTAAATACCAAACTGATCTCTCTCTCTCTCTCTATTTATAGGAGTCTCAGTATAATGTTGATGTCACTGATGGTTCTGACATGACTCCATTGATGTGGTCCTGTTATAATAAAAATGAATTAATAGCTAAAAGACTAATAGAACTGGGAGCTGACGTACACGAGAAAGACACTGATGGAAGGACAGCAGCTCACTGGTACAATATCTGATGTACTTATTGTATTTTATGTTTGTATCCCCAGGGCTGCTAAAAGGAGTGATATTAACATGTTGAAGTTGATCCTTAAACCTGACATGACTTATTTCAAGGATGTTAAAGTGTGTGAACTACATGTACATGTATTACCTTTGAAATTATTATGTACTGTACATGTACATACAGTATTAATGTACACATACATGTATCATGTACATGTACTGTACATGTATTAACTTTTCCTCTGTTTCTCTACTTTAATTCTTTTCTTTTTCCTCTTCCCTCCCTCTCTCTCTCTCCCCAGGGTTGTACTGTAATGCATGTATCAGCTCATGAAGGTTTTCAAGCTGGTATAGAATACATAATGAGCCTCAGACCTGAGAGTGTCCATGACACAGACAAAATGGTAACTTACTAAACATGTACAGTGTACATGTACATGTACCATATTATTAATAATGTGGTAGCGTTACTAAGTAGGATTCACCCCACTTCAAAATGGCTGCCTTGCTTTTTAAATGTATTTTCTTCTTTTTTGTCCTCTCCCTCTCTCTCTTCCATTCATTACCCCATTCATGTACATGTACTTCTTTTCTTCTCTCTTGCTCCCCCACAGGGTAGGACTCCATTACATTATGCTGCAGCAATGGACCGTGTTCATGTTTGTTACCATTTGCTCAATAAAGGAGCTGATGCTAGTCAAAGAGACAGTGACAATAAGACTCCATTGGATTATGCATTGATCAAGCAACACGAGTTTGTCGTGGCTCTCTTCACTTGTCATGATGCATCAGTTGGGGACTTCATTAAAATGCAGAGGTAATTGTACATGTACATGTACATGTTGCAATGACAATGGACTACTATGTGTACCTGTACATGTACATATACATGTACATGTACATGTAATGTACACATTTACATTTGTACACGTACATGTACATGTATCAATTTAAATCAAAAACAATATACACAATTTACACATACATATACATGTACATGTACATGTATGATGTACCGTATAGTGCAAAATCAGAAGTTTGTAAATTTGGTGGATTTCATGATTTTTTTAAGATTTGCAAAAATTACTTTGGCGAAAATCAATTACGGTACAAGATGGCCGATGGCATAAATTCGCAAAAATTAAATCCAAAAAAATTTTGCTATACCGTATACATGTACATGAACATGATGTACACATTTACATGTTCATGTTGTTTTCTCTTTTGTGTTATTTATAGGAGTGAGGCTGATACTGGCAGTTTATACAGTGGTGGTACTGATGGGTGTAGTTTAG